CTTTCCCCTCTGGCACAACTCCGGCAGTGCTGCCACTTGGGGCTTCTCTTTGAAGCTACTCCTAGACTGAAGACACAGTGAAGACGCCCAGCCCACAAACAACACACGTGCAACCAGAGAACACAGTCAGCCTCTGCTGGTGTGAGCCGCTGATAACTGCTGCTGCTGCTCTTATTTAATTACATATCTGGCGCATCCAATGTGTTCTGACTTACAACAGGTATATATACCATTGTTGCTGTGTAGTTGCTAAGTCATGTCCGACTCTGCAACCCTATGGACTGTAGCCCACCAGGCTCCGTCTGTCCACGGGATTTCTCAGGCAATAATACTGGAGTGGGCTGCCATTTTCCTCCCGAGGGTATCTTCCTGATCCAGGGATTAAGCCTGCGATTTTGCTTGGCAGGCAGATTGCTTACAATGAACCACCTGGGAAGCCCCATATATAATCTACAATTTGACCATTCCATTATTAAACATATATCCTCAAGAAACTATTTCAAAGTACACCAGAATATACTGTTCAAAATATTTATAGTAGCACTGTCTGTATAAGGGAAAGAAAAGAATCATCAACTCAAATCTTCACCCAAAGTGAAATGAGTAAGTTGCGGTGTATTCACACAATGAGATAATGACCTAGAACTACATCTTGACAGTGACAGGTCTCAAAGATATAATAGTGAAGGAGTTAAGACAGAAGAAAATACACTATGCGGTTTAATGTATTTTTAAAAGCAGATAAAACTAAACAATATACTGTTTATTGAAGCATACATACATGAGGTAAAAACTACAAACAAAAGCAAAGAAATAATACAAAAATTGGGATGGCAGTTACTATGGGAGACAGAGGAGAAGAAAGGTGTGAATTCAAGAAGCACATAATGATGTTTCAGATATGATAATGTTTATTTTTTAGCCTTGTAGTGGGTACAGAGTGATCATTTAACTTTGTCCTTTAAATAATACGTTTGCATTTTCATGCAACAGTTCATTAATACTATATCTCACAGTGGAATAAAAAGCATGCCAGATAAAGGAAGTATAAATCTGTCAAGATATCTAAACTCTAATTTTTTTCTTTCATCTTCTTTTTAAAAATTTATGTTCAATGTAATTAATTCATGTTTTGTCAATCTAGACATAGGTTCCCTTCTAGGAGATTTCGCCCTAGCCTTTTTACTATGTAGTAAAAATTTTAAGCAATCTAAATAATTCCTGGTGATTCCTTTATTTCCATTGAAGTGTATATATGTTTGTATATGTATACACTACTGTTTTTATTTAAAGCTTAAATCCAAAAATAAACAAAGATCCTTTAAGGTGTTTTAAATAGTAGAACCAACCTGAAAGGAAGGGTAACAACTCAAGTATTGGAAGTTGTCACTGCATTCATTGACCAGAGCCAGCTCATAATGTGGTGAAGATGTGCATAGATGGAAACCACTTCACAGGCCCAACAGAAAAATCACATGCAACTCACATACTCTTTTACCTAAAATCCATAAAGCACTAGCTGTAGCAAATGCAGAAATAATAAAAAGAAGTGTAAAAACTTCACAACATGTGGATAGCTTTCATTTGGGGAACCTTCTCAGGCTGAGTGAAGTAATACATTCTCAACTCTAGATATGCTGATTATTTTAAAAGCCACACACACACACGTACATACACACATAAACAAATATACACACACAAGGCAGTTGATACACTTGATTATTTTAGAAGTCACACACACGCACCACACAAATACATATACACACATAGGCAGTTGATTAAAAGATCAAGTTGTTGAGACTGACCAAAAGAAAATGCATTTGTTTTCTACCTTGAAGACTGTGACCAAGTCCTATTGCCTAGGACAAACCCAGAGAGCAAACCCTTCAGCGGGTTTTTAAAGTGAGAGTCACATCAGATTTTTCAACAGCTTGAGAGAATAATGCAGTTATAAGAAGCATGACAAGAGTGATACAGGTGATAAAATACAGATTACAGATACAGTAATACAGATGATCAGCACAAAGGGAAAGCATACAAATGACCTAGTTTTCAAACAACCAGATAAGGGCTAGTAATATTTGCTGAGAGTAAACATCTCAAGAACTGTGGTCAAGTGCTTGCTCAAAATGAGAGCCAGTCAGGTCAACATCTTGGCTGGTGACTTGATTACTCTGTAATTCGGATAATAAATAGCAATTCTGACTTGGAAAGAAAAGGTTGCCAAGAATTTATAGGGCTGAAAAATGGTCCTAGATTGATCAACTGATTCATCTGTCTGTCTGCTCATTCATCCATCCACCAACCAGTCACTCATTCATCCATTTATTCATTTATCAAACATTATCTGAACATAGATAGGCCAAATCTTGTTAAACCCTGGAGATTTAAAAAAATTTAGCAGTGAATTCAGATATGTTCCCTTGTCTTCACAAGGTTGGTAGTCTAGTGCAGAATTTTTCAACCTCAGCATGGCTGACATTATTATAAGATGCATAATTCTTAGTTGTGGGAGGTTGTTGTGTGCATTATAAGATGTTCAGCAGCATCCCTGGCCTCTACTCAACACTAGATTACAAAAGCCCTACATCCTCCAGATGTGACACTGTTAAATATCCCTGGGAGAAAAAACGATCCTGATTGAGAATCACTGGTTAGGAGAGAAGGCAAATGTGCTCCCAAACATTTGCAATTCAGTGTGAACACATTTAAGAAATGATGATAACACAATGGAGAGAGACAGTGACAGTTAGAGACCAAGTGAGGGGAGAGAGAGAGATGGAGAAAGGGTGGTGGAAAGATGGAGAGAGAGAAAAAAAAAAAAAGGAGAGAGAGGACACACTTTGAACACTTCTGCCTGCAGGAATTTAGTGAAAAAACAGAGAGGGCACCCTTGAGCTGGATCTTTGAGAAAGAGCAGACTTTATCATTTTGAGGAGAAGACATAGTTCTGCAAATATATTAAAATGCAAGGACTGCACTCTCTATTACAGGTTAACAATTTTTTTTCTTTCTTTTACTTTCTTTAATCTCTGACTATGAGGGGCCTACTGTATTTGAATATTTTCTAGCACGTAGCATAGTGTCAAGCCTTTGACTATGTGGATCACAACAAACTGTGGAAAATTCTTCAAGAGATGGGAATACCAGACCACCTGACCTGTCTCCTGAGAAATCTGTATACAGGTCAGGAAGCAACAGTTAGAACTGTACATGGGACACCAGCCTGGTTCCAAATCAGGAAAGGAGTATGTCAAAGCTGTATATTGTCACCCTGCTTATTTAACTTATATGCAGAGTACATCATGAGAAGTGCTGGACTAGATGAAGCACAAGTTGGAATTAAGATTTCTGGGACAAATATCAATAACCTCAGATATGCAAATGATACCATCCTTATGGCAGAAAGTTAAGAGGAACTAAAAAGCCTCGTGATGAAAGTGAAAGAGGAGAGTGAGAAAGTTGGCTTAAAGCTCAACACTCAGAAAACTAAGGTCATGGCATCTGGTCCCATCACTTCATGAGAAATAGATAGGGAAACAGTGGAAACAGTATCAGATTTTATTGTTTTGGGCTCCAAAATCACTGCAGATGATGACTGCAGCCATGAAATTAAAAGACAGTTGCTCCTTGGAAGAAAAGTTATGAACAACCTAGATAGCATATTAAAAAGCAGACACATTACTTTGCCAACAAAGGTCTGTCTAGTCAAAGCTATGGTTTTTCCAGTAGTCGTGTATGGATGTAAAAGTTGGACTATAAAGAAAGCTGAGCACTGAAGAATTGATGCTTTTGAACTGTGGTGTTGGAGAAGACTCTTGAGAGTCCCTTGGACTGCAAGGAGACCCAACCAGTCCATCCTAAAGGAAATCAGTCCTGAATATTCATTGGAAGCCCTGACGTTGAGGCTGAAACTCCAGTACTTTGGCCACCTGGTGCAAAGAACTGACTCATTGGAAAAGACCCTGATGCTGGGAAAGATTGAGAATAGGAGGAGAAGGGGACAACAGAGGATGAGACAGTTGGATAGCATCGCTGACTCAATGGACATAAGTTTGAATAAACTCCAGGAGTTGGTGATGGACAGGGACGCCTGGCGTGCGGCAGTCCATGGGGTCGCTAAGAGTTGGATACGACTGATCAACTGAACTGAACTGAGCATAGTGTCACTGAAATATTTGCAGCTACAAAGTGACAACTATTTATTCAGTGACCAAACAATTACCAAGCACTGTTCAGATCTAGTGCTAGGTTTCTGAGTATATGAGATAAAAAAGATACAATGCCTACACTCGAGGATATGAAAGTCTAATGGAAAAACAATTTAGCCAAGCAACATTTTCCAATTCTTTATAAAGGAGCTTTCTTGCTAAACAGAATCAAATGTTTGAAAGTTACTTCCTAATCCTTTGATGAGCTTGCCTGCTGATGGACTCTGGAGCTCTCAGGCTATAAATGAGGCAGACATGTAAACAAATAGTTATGAAGTTCACTATTAAGCACTTTAGGTTTCCCTGGTGGCTCAGCAGTAAAGAATCCGCCTGCCAATGAAGGAGACATGGGTTGGATTCCTGGGTCAGGAAGATCCCCTGGAGAAGGAAATGGAGACCCACTCCAGGATTCCTGCCTGGGAAATCTCATGGACAGAAGAGCCTGGTGGGTTACAGTCCATGGGGTTGCAGAGTCAGGCACAGCTGAGCAACTGAACTGCAGCAGTAGCAGTGGTGTATAAAAACGACCACGGACTTCTAGGAAAAAAGAGGTCATCTGGGCTGGGGCATCTAAGGCTTTCCTAGTCATGGCATTTAAACTCACCTGAAAAGACAAGGAGTAGCAGTTCATGATTTGAGAAAGGGCTAACTAGTAGGTGGAAAAACAAATGAGAAGACACAAGAAGTTAGAATGCTCAATAATAATGAGCATTCACTACTGACCTATGACCAGAGTGACAGCAATAGTTACCATGGATAACTATAGTTATAGAGAGTGATAGTTATCATGGTAACAATGGGTTCTAACACTCTTAACAGGTGGGAGCAGGTAGCTTAGTATCATAGGCATTAATAGGTAAGTAACAATAGGTAAATTCCTACAGTGGTGCAGTGAAAACCCCTCCCTCCTAACCTCCCCCTTCCCCTACCCTTCACAACACACACACACTCCCATGGATGAGGAAATACCACTTAGAACATCCTTTTCTTGAATATGCTGGATGACCACCCTGACTATGTCAGGTTTTTCTACAGAAACTGGAGACCTCAATGTTTATAAGATTAGGACCTCTAGCACCCCATATAAGCACCTATTTTGACACAGATTTTAAAAGCCCTTGGTCACTCAGATTAGCATAAAACAGGCTGATAGACAGAGCTTCTGATTCAGTTATCCTCAGCTACATTTTAATCTAGACTGCAGGACATGCGCCACAAAAACAATACTATTGAGATTAAGGAGGGCACACGCCTCCCTTTAGGCCAGCAAATGACTTGGGCTGGCACTTATGTGAAGACTCGCTGATTCTTGTATGCAAAGAGCTTCAAGAAAATGAATGACGGGATGTGTCCAAACAGGGCTGTGTGCAACTCATTCATCTCTACCACAGTCGCCTGCTCTTATCACCCAGTCATCAGGACAGTTGGATTCCACGACTTATGGATCAGTTCAGTTCAGTTCAGTTGCTCAATCATGTCCGATTCTTTGCGACCCCATGAATCGCAGCACACCAGGCCCCCTGTCCATCACCAACTCCCAGAGTTTACTCAAACTCATGTCCATCGAGTCGGTGATGCCATCCAACCATCTCATCCTCTGTTGTACCCTCCTCCTCCTGCCCCCAATTCCTCCCAGCATCAGGGTCTTTTCCAATGAGTTAATTCTTTGCATCAGGTGGCCAAAGTATTGGAGTTTCAGCTTCAGCATCAGTCCTTCCAATGAACACCTGGTTGGATCTCCTTGCAGTCCAAGGGACTCTCAAGAATTTTCTCCAACACCACAGTTCAAAAGCAACAATTCTTCAGCGCTCAGCTTTCTTCATAGTCCAACTCTCACATCCACACATGACCACTGGAAAAACCATGGCCTTGACTAGATGGACCTTTGTTGGCAAAGTAATGTCTCTGCTTTTTAATATGCTATCTAGGTTGGTCATAACTTTCCTTCCAAGGAATGAGCATCTTTTAATTTCATGGTTGCAGTCACCATCTACACTGATTTTGTAGCCCAAAAAAATAAAGTCTGATACTGTTTCCACTGTTTCCCCATCTATTTCTCATGAAGTGATGGGACCAGATGCCATGATCTTAGTTTTCTGAATGTTGAGCTTTATGGACTAATTAACAGATATTCAGCATACCACATTGCCTGTCACACAAGCAAAGAAAGACCCACGGACACGTTCACACTCAAAAGGCCCAGTGGCTCGGCAGTGCTGCTAGTCTCACCCTCTGCCTTCAATCTCCTTTCCTCCCAATCACCCCTGGGTGCTTTCAACACCCATGGGTTTTCAGACCCAGTACCTCTGGAATCCCACAAATATGTGCCTGTTAAGAAAACTGAAGGACAAGGAAGCCAGCATACCTGGTCTTTTAAAATGTATAAATCTAGGTAAGCTGAGCATTGGAAAAAAAGGGAGATGCCCCCACTAAAGGCCAAGGATTTGAGGTTCGAGTCGTCCTTGACGATGCTGACTCTATTACAGAAAAGGACACAGTTCTGTGATGTGAAGAATCATCTTTGAGGCATGGATGGGGCTAGCCCTTGATCATCAGCCTGACTAAGAACTGCAGGGAGGGGCCCAATCTTATGTTTATTCATCACTGGCAGATGCTAATACATTTCTGGATCGACATTTGGCAGAAGTATGAATAAACACAGAGGATTCACAATCAGATATCAGAGCTAGAAAGCTGAATACTACTGATGGATTGATTATGTTTTTGAGCTATTTAGATAATTGGACATACTAAGTACAGAGCTTTCTGCAATGATAATGGACCTGTCCCGTTGTGGTCTATTTAACAAACACTAGGACTATTTTTTTCAAGCTTGTTTACATTCCTGTACATCCTGGCTTTATTGATATTCTGTCCTTTGAATTACGGTGTCACCCTAGCAACGATCCAGAGGAAGTTGAGGAGGGCATTGTCACTGTTAACCCACATTTTTTTTTTTTTCTGAAGTGAAAGACAGCAAACCCCTTCCAGGCTGAGTCTGGAGCTGGTCTTCCTTAATCTGTTACTCTAAATATGCACTGCCTATTGTTGGTCAAAGATGGGAGTGGTGGGAGAGGGGTATCTCTATTTCCTGTTTCTAAACAAAAGTGTCTTTCTGAGTTGTTGTTGTTGTTGTTTAATGCAGCTCACGTTGCCTGACTGTCTTTTTCCTAGATCTGTTAATGTTTGTACTTCCTTCACCCAAGTCTCAGCTCAAATGCCCCCTCTCAGAAAGTTACCGCTCTCTCTCAAGTAGGTCCACAGTGAGTATGGCTTATTTGAATCTCTTCACAACACTTACTAACTGAATTATTATTTCACAGTTGTTCACTTCCCCCAATATTATGTCAACTCCTTGGGAGCAAAGACCATGGCTATCTTTCACAACAATCTGTCCCTACAGTCTTACCCAGTGTCTGGTACATAATAATTATGTGCACATTTCATGGACTTTTAAGACTGCTGACTCTTAAAGAGAACCAATTCTTTGCTGTGAAACATGCATATCCAAGTTGAGTCTAGGTACCCAGTTAGTGGGTGATTTCTATTCTCCTTGGAATATGGCATCTGTGGCTTTAAGCAGTGAGCTTGTGATGGGCCATGTTACTTGGACAGTTTTTCTTTACAGAAATGAGTAGATTTTTATGGTACTCATTAAAAAACTCCATAGCTCTTCCAACTTTCTAAGACGACCTCTCTGCTGACCACATGAGTCCCTCTTCCCCAAGAAATTAACAACACCATTGGTGAACCGAGTTCCTAAAGTGCAATGTAACCTACAGATGATATTATTTATTCTCAGTTCCCACATTTCCACAGATCCATGTGTGTCAGGGCTTCACTAAATAAAATAGTTGCCTTGGTACATAATTCAAATAAAACATCTTTCCCTGTGAAATGGTATCTAAGTACCCCTATGAATTGGTTTTGTATGAAGAACAGATAAAACACTAGATTGGGGATATAGAAATAGTATTATTTGCTTCAAAGTTAAACAGCTTTGCATTTCTAATCTTTATAGAAGGATCCTTTTAATTATCAGATAGTCCTAGGTAATTCTCTCTCCTGGGGACTAGCATAACAGTTGAATTCAAATTCGGTATGACTTCTCTATAATCCATAAGCAACTTTATGAACTTGATTATGACTTCTGGTTTATATATCTGAGATTTTAAACAATGAAAAAGGTGAGATGATTCAGTCTTGATTTATTTATAACATTTCTTGGGTCTTTCATTTCACGAAATTTTTAAGTGGCTCCACCATTAATTTCTTTAAACAGCAGGAGAGGGTGGTCTCTCTGAATCACTTCCATTTTGATTCTTTGACCCTTAGGCATTTTCAGAATTCAGTTTATTTTTCAATTTCACTTACAAAAATCAAGTAGTGAGAGAAGCCAAGAAGCTATAAATGTTGTTTGAAGCAATTTGACAAGATTCCCTGAGCATTTATTTACCTTGTTTTGTTTCCACATAATCAGTTTATGAAGATTGTCTGGGGTTTTGGAGTTGGGGGGAGGGCATTCTCTTAATCCCAGTGCTCCTTAGAACTCAGACCCAGTGCCACAGCTGGGGTCAATCTTTGTTAGGGTGTTTAGAGGTGAGCTTCAGAATCTTGATTTCTCTCTTTTGTTCTCAGTAGAAGAACAAAAAGAAAGAAAGACTAAAATTCTCACAAGTTATTAAAAAAAAAAAGAAATAAAAACTTGGAAGCTGACCCTGCAGAAGTTATGGAACTTGCAGGTTGCCGTGGTAATGAGGAACAATAGACCAATCCCTCGTTAGTGCTGTCTCTGTCATTTGAATATGGGAAAGGAATAAAAGAAAGTTGACTGGAAGTTAGAGGATGGGGTAGGTGGGAGCCACAAGGAATGGAGATTGAAAATAGTGCCTGCATAGAGAACAGGCTGTTTTTATTTAGACTGTATGCTTATTTGAGGTGGTTTGTTGGAAGCTTACTTGGGGTATAAATTGATGGACCCTATGGGAGGAAGTCTGTGCTGAAACATAGGGCATGGTCACAGATGCAAATGTTAATTTCTTCAAGTGTAAAATGAGTGCAATAAGCACATCCATTTCCTAATATTGATGCAGGGATGGAATGATTAACATGTGTAAAGACCTTAGTGGATGGCACTGTTAAGAACTATTATCTATTGTAAGCACTGTATTATGAAAGAACCATCCACAACCCACAGACTAACAATTAAGATTACCACTGCTCATATGCTCAATTAGGTTACCCCTCCTTCAAGAAAGAATTTGATTTTTTGTGTGCTGTTTATGGGTAAACTGTCCATAATAAATGAAAATAGAATCCCCCAAAGAAATCATAGGTTTAATAATTGTATTACTTTCCTTGAAAAGATGTTTTACCCATAGAAACAACAACAGCAAAGAAAAAAAAATCATAAGCCACACACCACAGACTCTCAAATAACAATATCTGAGTTAAACTTTAAGGACTTATCCTGACTTATTTTATTCAATCACTTTTTTTTTCCCCTCTTTCCCCTAAACATCTGAACTTTACATTGGGTTTAAATATGAATCAACAGAAGATGAATGAAATATTAGTTTCATCTTTCCACCAAACTTTTTCATTTAACAGTATTTTCAGATAATCATTTCTAAAATTACATTTTTAAGGCAATTTTCCCACTTGTATTATGTTTTTGAAGTTCATTGTTCTTTGGAGGTGAGAGATTCCAAATGCTATAAAGCAAAATGTCACACTGCAAGTTGTAGGCAAGGGTAATAAACTTGACTTTTCCTCCTAGTGCATTTCAATTAGGTACTTTGATGCCTGAGGCATGAGGATTACCATATTTCCTTTTGCCAATGAATTCTACAACTGTTGAATCATGTGCATATGAGTATCACCTAATGATACAAATAAACATATATAAAAGGTATTCTTTAAGAAACCAAATTATATGAATTAATAATCTTTTCACTGAGATTCTGACAGTCTTACCAAAAAATCCAAAATATTTCTTCACGTAATTTCTGTTCATCCCCATTGTGTAAATTAAACCTGCTTTATTCTACTGCTCATGTAGGTCAGAAACAAGAAACCTATCATGAAATACTTGTATTAGCAAAGTCATCAATTGACATCACAAAATGTTGATGCAACTGAAGGAAAACAAAACTGGCCACTCGAAAATGTGTCTCTTCAGCTTCAGGATTCTGGGGACTGATTGCTTTCATGAAACGAAAGGTTCAGGAGGAGCTTATATCTCCTCTCTTACCTGTTTAAAAGAATTTAGATAAATGGCCTATTCCAGAAAAAGAGGACTATCACCATAGAGAACTAAAGTATAATATAAAGTGTGTGGTAGACTGGGGGAAACTTAGCAAGGCCTGTTTGTCAAAGTCTTTTCTGTCCCACTGTCTCTGACCCAGCAAACATTTTGTTTACCTAATATTTGCTCTTTTCGTCTTCCTGTCAGTTGCTTTCCTTCCCTTTGAAGTTTCAAGCCCTCATCCCCTCCTCCTCTCAGCCAGTATATAAACTTCAATTGCCTAATGTGTCCTTAGGATTCATATTATTATCGCACCTTTGTAAGTGCTTAATAAAATTTTATTTCCTCCTCTTAATCTGTTTCATGTCATTTAATTCTTAGACTAGCCAGAAGAACCTAGAAAGGTAAAAGTGTACTTTTTTCCCTCTCCATATAAATAAATAGTGGTTGACTAGTAATGTTTACTTATTTAGTGACAATTTTAGAGCAAAATATTGGGTTGGTTAAAAAGTTTGTTTGGGTTTTTTCATAACATTTTATGGAAAAATACAAATGAACTTTTTGACCAACCCATGAATCTAATTGTCAAAGGGAAGACTAATCCATTAGTATAAAATCAAGTCCCAAGACAGAAAGAATCAGCAGGACCTATAAGACTTCCCAATTGAAAGAACCTTCAATGAAATTCTAGACAGAGAACATGAATGCAATAACTAATGAAAAGAAACTGTATAGAAACTAACTTATAAGGCACAAAAGTCAATAAGCAAAGCAGTTTTAGTTGAAAATTTAAAAAAAAAAATCATTTTATGATTTGCATGAAGCATTAATAATAAAAAATCTCTTTTCAAAAGATGTGGCATCTGATGCAATTTTGCATCTCAAGATTATAAGATATAATACACAATGAAAATTCATCTAAACATTTGCTTACATAATGTGATTCACAATCATGCAATCCTTTGCAACCCATATAACTGCAGTTTTAGAAATATTAAGCTTACAAGTCTCAAATATTAAAATGATAAGAGATTCAGGGGCCTAGTGTATACCTATCTAATAAATATTAGAATAAAAACCCCTAAATTTTCAAAAACTTTGGGAAGTATAAATTATTGTGTGCAAATGAACATTAATTCTCTGTACCAACCAAATAACAAAAATCCTATTCTCTACATAAGCAAAGAGGCCAAAATTTTCCATGACTTGCTTTTGCCTTTATATGTAACAACAAAAAATATGTTTATCAGATGGTCCAAACGTCCATCCACAGGCCAGAGAGGAAGACTCATGGTAAATTAGGTGAGCTAGAAAACTCAGCATGTAAAACATGTTTAATTTTGATATAATTTTATATTTAAAACAACCTCATAAAATAACTGGGATTAACATTAGCAACATCACTTAAAGACTGAGGGAAACTAATGTGGTTGATATACAGTGACATGTCCAAGGCTATGAAACTAGCTAGAGTAAGAATTTCTCATGTTCAGGTTCCACAGGCTTTTGCTGTACTATACATATAAATATAGACATATAGGCACAGGTAATTAAATAAGATGTATGAAATTCTGATTTGAGCTGCTCTTCCTTTTTCCGAGCTTCCATTTGGAACGTTATTGCACTGATATACATGGGCATTTTTAAGTGTTTTGATTTTTATACTAAATTAATTTCTTTTTTTGTAAAACTTTCAATGAATATTGTATGAACCTAAGGCAAAGATGCAGAGTCAGTTTTAAGATTATCTTGCATAACACATTTGCACAGTGTAAGTAATACTACCCAGAAGGGAGAAGAGCATGTGATAACATGGTGTGCTACCTTTCAGGATCTCAGCTACTGCCTGTTCTTAGTGTCGTGTACAACCAGTGAGGCCATCTTTTAAAATTTAAATGTCTCATACACGTTAGCTGAGGGAATGATGAATTCTATCTTGGAAAAAAGTACAGTGGGTTTCAAATGCCACTTCTGAACCATTCCTTAATTGCCTATCTAAGAAAAGACTCAATTGGAAAAAAAAAGATACATTTAAAACTGAATAGCTAAAGAATACTTAGATATGTAGGTGATAGTGAATATCTTTTAACAATCTTTTTAAAGATATAAATGAGCTAATTGTATTAACCATGAATTTTTATGAAAAAAAAGAAGAAGAGCGAGCTTATCAATTTTTGGCATCAAGAGGAAAAAAGAAAAATCTGCCTTCAGCCAGATCCCACCTTTCTTAAGCAAAACAGGAGTCTGGAGGGAGGAGGCAGGAGATAGGCTTTGCTGTCTGAGCCGGAACATGACTAATTTTTCTCTTGCCCACAGAATGCAGGCTCTTTGCTTAGCTGATCCTCTCATGATCACTGACAGAAGGAAAGGTAGAGAGCTGAACACTGTGTGGCTCACCTAGGTCCTCCTCGGAGTTTCCCTTTTTTCTTTCACAGAATTCCCTTAACACAACTTCCATGACACATTTCACTGTTAGTCCCTCTGTTTCCATTTGGGATGGATGTCATAGTACTTAGCCTCAGTAAAGGAGGCACTCAAGTATCCATTTCATGAATGCTGTGTATCATCCTAATGGACGCTTAAGTAGCCTCTGCTTTCTACTGTTTATGTTTTGACTGAGATGTCTGTTTAACTTGTAACTCTCTTCTCCTAGTCATCATAAACACTGACTTGCATTCTCTGTACTTTATTCATCTCTTTATCCTGGCCCTTGGTGAACACAAAAATACGTGAGAAACAGCTATAAGGAAACGAAATTCACTACCCTAAAATGTGTGTCTTTGGCATGAGGATGTTTTAGGCTGATTAGTTTTAAAAGAACAGAAGAGTCCAGAAGTCTTTCTTGTTGCCTTCCCATTAACTATATGAAAGAATCTGCACAAAGGATCTGGTCCAGGAAGAGCACTATTATCAGAGATGTCTACAAAGCATACGAGCTAGACATACTGGGGGAAATTCTGCAGGGCCTAGAGACCAAAGTCCTTCGTCCTGTTGTCCCTGCATGGCCCAGAGAACATATATTTACTAAACATTTGCTTTTCCATCTCCATGTGAGTTATCTTCACCCCTCAAATTATTATGGGATTCCTGCACATATGTAATTAAATTTTATTTTCTCTTGTTAATCTGTCTCATCCGTAGACAGGAAGTTTTTCCTTTCCCCAACACAGCCATTCTTCACATCCTGTAGACAGACTTTGTTCTTTATGGATGCTTAAACAAAATGTATTTAAAGTCCTCCTTCATTAGTTATCCTCCTCAAGAGGAGGGCTGATTTTTTTAAATCCAGCATTATGTGAACACTGGTCTGAACTCAGCACCTGCTCCCTCAACATAGAACTAGTCTTCAAATAGTCCTGAGTATCACCAGCACAGCCAAGAATATTATTTAAAATCAGTTCATACAGTCTACCACATGGCCTAGGGGTATCTTAGGGTCTAATTACCATTCAGCACATTCTACATCATCTAAACTAAGACAGTAGTAAATTGTGCACAAAAGAGACCTATAGAGGTGATCATTTCATTTTATGCCCTGTCTCAACTACTGACATGAAAATGGCAATGCCTTTATCTCTCTCAACTTAGAAACTTTTTGGACCATAACGTTGGGTTGCATCAACTCTCTGATTCAGGAGGAAACTCATTCTTTACCATACTGGTGGTTTAGCCTTGCAATAAGACTCTCAAACATAGACATCATTCTGTGTGTGGCGGGAGTGGGGAAGAGAGTCTTTCTACCTTCACTTAATTCCACCCAGCACTTACTCTGGGGAGAATGACCTTGAAGCTGGAAAGGTATTTGGAGCAATATCCATGCCTGAGGTTTGGAAGTTTGGTTATACACACCAATGTCAGTATTTTGTATTCTTAATGGTCCTAGTTATGGGATTCCTTCTGTATTTAAAATTTAATCCTTTCAAAAATACAGAACAGGATAAAGATTAGAGAAGTTAAGTAAATTTCTGGAGCCCACATAGAAAAAGCCAGCTGTTTATTAGAACCTTTACCTAAGTTATTCCAAAGCTTGTTTCTCGCCCCACTTCACACCAATGCCTCAACCCTGAGGCAATGATTCTTACAAATGCACCCGCTCCGCAATGACTGGTTTGATAAGCATGGATAGCTATCACTGCAACTTAACTCCAAAACACAAGGACACTGTAAGCTATGCATTACTTTGCAAATCCTCAGAATCAGGGAAAGAATGTTATAAGGAGGACTGGAAGGAACTATGGATGGGAAGCGCCTGCAGCTGGGTGCTGGGTAGGTGGTAGAGCACTGACGGCTGATACTAGAACAGTCACTCACATTTCTTGAGCACTTGCTGTGTGTGTGACACCAAACCAGTGCCTCTTGTAATACAAATCTGCGAGAGGCCAACTCAGCCATTCACTCACTCCTTAATTAAACAAATGTTTATTGAATGACTAGTATGTTCCTGGCACTCTTAAATGTTGGGAAAAGAGGAGTGAACAAGGTAGATAGGGTTCTTGCTTTCTTTCCACATGGGGGAGGCAGAAAGTAAACAAGTAGACAAATAGGTAACCCAGATAATTTAAGATAGTGATATATATGCTTTGGGAGAAATTAAAAAGGGTGATGTGCTAGACAGTCGATGAGAAGGAAATGTTTAAATGGATGGTCTGAGTAAGATGTGGTAACATCTGAACTCAAGTCTGAAAGTTATAAGGAGTCCAACCACAGAAAGAAAAGAGATGAGGGTTCCTGGCATAGAGCAATAGGGGAGAATAATTTTAATGTGTTAGAAAACAGGAGGAGAGACAGTGCAGTTGAAGCTGGGTCAGGAAGGGGACCTGGGACAAATCATTCTATAGCATTACAGACCTGGATGAGGAGTTAGTTTATTCTGACTAAATGGGAAATCATGAGAGAGTCTTATACAGGTGAGTGTCATTATCTGGTTTATCCATTAAAATAGAAAAAAAAATAAAGCATCCTAGCTATTCAATAGTTCCCATTGCTGGGAAAAAGAAGGGCTGTAAAAGTGAGACCAGGGTAGAAGAAGGAACCCAAAAGAATGGATTTCCATAAAAGAATCATGGCTTGTTTGACAATAATGTCTTGAAAGTAAATCCTAGTGTTAGACCCACTTTATAAGAGGAAATTAAGACTTTACAGTGATTTTCCCAAAGTCCCACAGCAATGGGGTGGAAAACTCTGATCAGAACCTCATCAGTCTGACTCCAGAACATTAACTCTTATTAATGCACTATACTGTCTTCCATAGTTGCAATGGAGAACTATTTCTACGTTTTGGACTCCCTTTTTTGCTGAGAATGCCATCAAATTGGAGAAAGGAGAATGTGTCCACAGCATAGGTCTTTGAATCTTCTAGGAGCTAACAGTGTTATTAGCACATCATTCTCACTTTTTGGCTAGTAAGTCGATCTAAAACAATTGTAATTGCACAGAAATTTCTTCTCTGATTTATTCCCCTTTAATAGAAATTTCTTTTTGTCAGAAACAAAGGGTAGCCTGATCTTTCAGGTCAACAAACATATTTGATCTTTAAATGCACCAGCCACCATGATGACTACAGTGTAAGGTACTATCCATTTGCTAGCAGCACAGCTATAGGGAAAGTTGAATAAAGCTGACTCTGAGAAGTCTCAAGCATATAGAGAAAAAATAAATTGAGTCTGAAAAAGAGCACCTCTTACCACATGACCCAGCTCTCATCATTCACAGTGGTGAAGGCTCATAACCTCCAAATTCATATTCGTCATTTCCTGTGCAGTGGCCCTTCAATTTCGCAGCCTCTAGGTCTTCTGGGTCACACCCTTTTAAACCCTGGTGTCTAGAGCTCACTTCACAAGCCATTGACCTCTATGGTTCTCTTAACCAATCTATCATTCTTCTAACTGAATGATTCTTTTCTGCAAATATAGTGCTTTCTCTAAGCCTCCAAGAAACAGTTAATGCTGGTGATTAATTCCGTTTTCCTATATACTCACTTCAAAGACACTCACCCTTAGTGTGTTCCATAGTTTATTATCTCTTCTTTTGAAGCTAGCAAAGTTTAGTTTGCTTTAAGATAATAGTTCTCTCTCCTGAATATTAATGAAGATGCTCAAGTCTGAAACACATAGGGTAACTGTCATAAAAAGAAATCAAGGATTCATAAGGATCCTTAATGTATTGCAATACATTGTCTGCACCTGGAAGTATTGGTTGAGTGCCTACTATGTGCTAACCACACTGAAGTACATGAAATGAATAACAATTCTTGCCCTAATGAAATCTAAAATTTCATTTAGAGTGAAGACTCAGGAATGATTAGATATGCTGTACAGTACATGCCAAATGAAAGGTATATTCTGTTGCTGAAATCATCAAGGAGAGCTCTTAATGGAGTTGAGACCAGACGGTGACTGCCAAGGTGAGCAGGGAACAGGCAGGCACTGCTAAATGCTGCCTGAATCCAACATCTCCCTTTTCCTTTAGAAAGAAAACTCTTAGTTAGAGGCCAAATTTTCCTGAAAAGCCAGGTCACATGACTATATTTTGGGCACTTGTGAGACGAGATAAGCATAACTTCCAGATTGAGCTTTATTTATTTATTTCGCCCTCAGTTTCCTGAAGAAGTGTGTGTGTTCAGTCATGTCTGACTCTCTGTGACTCCATGGACTGTAGCCCACCAGGCTCCTCAGTCCATGGAATTCTCCAAGCAAGAATGCTGGCGTGGGTTGCCACTTCCTTTTCCAATTTGCTGAGCAGGAATTAAACACAAGGCAAAGCAGTGAAAGCCCAGATTCCTTACCACTAAACCCCCAGGGAACTCTCAACAGACTGAGCTTTCAAAGGATGTTATTTGTCCTCCACTTCCTCTCTTTCTCCATCCAAAAGGATGCAATGTGGATGTGGTACTGATAACCTAGTTTGAACCAGCAGAAAAGATAATACCTGCTGGAGGTAGGGGAGCATCAGATGGTAGTAGCCCTGGTCCCTGAATGAATGATCTCACAGAACTACAACTTGTGGAATCACTCACCTATCTCCAGATTGCTGCAGGAAAGTTAAATACAACTTCTGTATTGTTAGCGTGCATTTGTGCATCTCTGGTTTATAATAACTCTGGTTGTACCATAACTGAGAAAAGGATGAGGCAATCAACTAATGCTCCTTGGTTTGTGTTTAGATAAGGGAAGAATAAGGAGTTAGTAGAATGATTCATTAACTCAAGCTGAAATACAAACTCAGTACCATAGAAACTAGTACACAGAACAAATGGATTGGCCAGAGGACCTATAGACATCTAGAATTGAAGAAGAAAAAGGAAGAGGGGGAACAGAGAAGTGGAGGGAGTTGTTCCGTTGCTAAGTCATGTCTGAATCTTCGTGACCCCATGGACTGCAGCATGCCAGGCTTCCAGGTCCTTCACTATCTCCCAGGGTTTGCTCAAGCTCATGTCCATTGAGTCGACAATGCCATCCAACAACTTCATCCTCTGTTGCCCACTTCTCCTCCTGTGCTCTACTTTTCCCACAGAGGAGAAAAGAAGACGACGATGAATGAAGGAGGAGGTGGTGGTAGTGCCAGAGAATTATTTAGGAGACCACTGTGTGCAAAGTATCCTGTTTATAGTCTGAATTTGTAGAGGGGTAGAGGGGGGTTTACTAGATTTTGGACCAAACAGTAAATGATAAAATTACCTTACCTGGCAGTTCTCTGAGTTACTTCTACCATTAGACTCAACAATGGAGTATGTTCAAGTTCTAGGTAGATAGAATTTCTTTCAAGCAGAAGCACATCACTCCTACTTGGTATTGGCATTGAAATAATAGTTAAGAGCTCAGGGGAAGCAATGGGAGACAAGACAACAAAGAGGTTCAGATGCCAAGAAAGGGACTTGGATCTCTATAAAAAATGAGATACTCTGAAACAGTTTCTTGGGTGAGGACTGACAGAACAGAGCAATTTCTCAGAGTGGTTTATTAACCTAACAAATCTTTACTGAAGTTTTACTATGTAACCATCATGTTGAGATTAATCTGATTGTGGTCATACAGACTGGAGACAGCATTTTCAAATGAAATCACCCTCATGTTAGAAGGCAGTGAATGGGCATCCTGGATAATTTTTAAAAATGTGAAGCCCTGGTAATTAAAAATTAAAATTAAGAAATATTTAAAAAGTAGTCATGTGTATTTTAACCTAGAAATATAACCAAATGCAACTGATGCTCCAAGAAGATGCAGCACATTTACAATGTCTTCCAGTCCCTGTGAGGTACTTTCCTTTATCTTGGGTCATGATGGACACGGCTTTCCTCTGTCAGGGCTAAGTGTGAAGTACAGCCTAATCACGGGTGGGGAAATACGTGGGGTCTACAAGGACAGCATGTGGAGCCCACCTTGGCTCTGTGTGTCTCAGTCTCATTTCCACATTATTTATTCTGAATCCCTTTGTTTTGTTTTCCACAACTGTCAGGGCATCAAGTACCTTTAAAAGAAAAGGGAGATCGGGATGGGAAATACATGTAAATCCATGGCTGATTCATGTCAATGTATGACAAAAACCACTACAATAAAAAAAAATTTTTAAAAATTGGAAGAAGTCAAAAGGGGAAAAAAAGAAAAGAAAAGAAAAAGGCAGGCCACTGATCCTGCTGTTTTCTTAGTTACGCTAGTTATCTCAGTAGATCATGTGGAAAAAGAGATATTTAGGTTGAAGCATTTCCTCAACTTTCAAGTCTACTCAGAACCTGGGACTATGATCTTACTTGCAAATAGGATCTTTGAGGATGTATGTCCTACTGATTAGGGTGGATCCTAAATCAAATGACTGGTGTATAAGAAAACAGAGGATGTGCAAAGAGACACAGACCCAGAGGAGACAGAGGAAGATGTAACGATGGAGGCAGCAAATGGAGTGACACCTCTCTATAAGCCAAGGGACACCAAGGACTGCTGGGAGCTACCAGAGAAAAGCAAATGGCAAGGAAGGATCCTTCCTCAGAGCCTCCAGACAGAAGGAAGGCTGACATGCTGACCCTCTAATTTTAGACTGCTAGTTGCCAGAACTGTGAGAACATATTTCTACTGTTTTAAGCCATCCAGTTTGAGACAGTTTGTTAATTTGTTAAGGGCTGTATTGGTGGGGCTTTACTGCTGGTGACTCAGTGATAGAGAATCCACCTGCCAATGCAGGAGATGCAGGCTTGATCCTCTGGAGAAGGAAATGGCAACCAACTCCAGTATTCTTGCATGGGAAATCTCACGGACAGAGAAGCCTAGCTGGTTATGGTCCACTGGGTCTCCCAAAGAGCTGAACACCATTTAGCAACTAAACAGCAACATACTATTAATGCATTATTTTAGCTTTATTTTAAAGCCAATCTTAAAGACTAAAGTCTTTCAGTGAGCTCAGGCATACAAGGGTATAAAAAATAAAGAAATGATAGAATATTTCAAGAAATAATGGTTGTTTCTCAATATTTAATTTAATAGATTATTATACTTGTATCTAACAATGTACATGTATTTGTATATGTACAACTGCATTTAAAAATAACACACTTCAAAATATGAAGTTTTAAAGAACCTTGGCTTCAGGTTAAATAATCCTCTTGCTTTGGGCCTCTATCCCCATCTACTCTTACTTCCCATGGACCTGTCAAAGACTTTACTCCCTAAGTCAAGGTCAGAATCAAGGGGTTATGCCTCTTTTTGCCCACTTCTCTCCTTTGAACCATGCTCCCAGTTGAAACTGGATAAGAAAGAAGAAACTTGGCTACTATTTTTGTAGTATTGAGCTAACTTACTTTTCTAGGTCATCTTACAGAACTGAAACCATAGTTGGCAATTAAAGGTCAAACCATAGTGACCTTAAACAGGATTACTATTATATATTTTTGTAATGGCTCAACTTGATCAAATACCAAAAATGTGTTTTGGTGCCCAAAAGGACAGCAATGTCTTCCCAGGGTGAAAATGAGTTTTTAGCCAACAGCTGAATGGGAACCTACATTCACAGATAAAGTACTAATCATCTCAACTCAAGGACAGCTGTTCTTGGCAAAGACATATTCCTAAAAAAAAAGAGAGTTCAGCAGTGTACTCACAAATAGTCTATTCCTATGAGAAAACCAATCACAAGAGAGCATTCAGGAAAATTGGCAGTGTCTGGCAAAGGGAGCCCCGGGCCTCTGCCTACCTGCGAAGTGAATCACTTGTTATCCCCTGAGAAGGTACAATCTTTAGCTCAGGGCAAAGGTCAATGGCAAGCCGTGTGATGGAGGTACACGTGTATGGCTACATGCACTCTCCACCTGGTCTATGAATAAAAAGACAGAACCACCTCAGCATTATCATTCCCTTGACCTTCATGACTGGAGCTGTCCCAGCAGGGGAGGGGAAAAAAAAAAAAAACAGCCAGGGAAATAAAGGGAAAATTAAAATGTTAAAAATTATATTATAGCTCATTTGTGACCTTTAAAAAATATTAGACTTGAGAATATTAGGCTGGAGTGGATACAACAGAGTCTGACAGCTGTAAAGTCATAGATTTTTTTTTTTTCCCTTAGTGGCTTTCTACCAAAATCTTAAACAATAAGCAGACCCTGCATGCTTCTTGCTGGCTGACAGCCAGAGAAAATTCAGAATTTTGATCAGCACTTTAACTCTTCAAAGAAATTTGCTTGAATTTTAGAGCATTCCTCTCTCCTATAAGCTACTTGCAGGGTTTATCAGAGAGTCAGTTCCTATTAATAAGAAATGCAAAATGCTGCAGATTGCAAGTTATGCAACAATATTCTTTTCCCTTACACTTCCATGTTAGTTGGTTTGCTAAGTGAATTCAGCATGACAGGCAAACATTTGAAGCCATCAGTGTTATCATAAGAATACTTCAAGAAGATCTGTGTTAGAAACGACAGTGTCAATATATTCCAACTACCTAGAGCATTCAAATTTAAAACCCAAAATATGATTGTTGTTAGAGCTGTGTGTTGAAGCCTGAAGACAGACTGCTGCCATGTATAGGCTGAAACGATTCTATCCTCCCTAGGAAAAGGAGCCCTTAGTTTTCCCTGGGTCATCCTTGACAATAAATAAACAAGCAAACAAACCCACCCAGGATTTAACAGCAATTAAGTATCCATCTGCTCTAAACAAAATGATCTTTCTACTTGGCGCAGTGGGAGGGGGTCAGTAGAGTTTTGTTCTGTTTTGCTTTTTCACTTTCTTTGACATCTTTGGGTAACCAGCATTTGACTCATGCCACTTCCTTTAATTCTCAAACATTTTATGATCTCTCTTCACTGTTTAGAGAGTATATTAGAATGTTGCTGATATTTTTAAATGGCCATTTAATTTCTTTTTTTTTTCAGACTGGATAATCACAAACAAATCTATTTAACCTCTAGTTTTAAATTTGTCATAAAAATAATTTTAAAATAATACTTTTGGATGTTGTTCTGCCCACACACAAGAAACCCTATTAAAGGTCAGTCAGAATTAATATGGAGATTAGCAAGTGTCAGAAGTTATTTTGTGGAACCTGAAGAATACGTTTGCAATCTGATTTTGTGGCATATCTATTACAAATGAGAAAGAACCTCAGTGGTTTTTGCCGAATCCCATTTTCTTAATAGGAAATTGATGAATGACAGCATCTGGCAAGAAGAAAAAAGCATATGGTCTAACTAACTGTTTCTACAGAGGTTAAAAACAGCTTTGGAATATTTCTGGTTGCCATTATGATTGACAGACCATCAAATAAATCATTCACCTCTCTTTCCCCCACCATTGGTCCCATGTACTGACAAAGACACAGAGGGAAATCAACAGTGTGGTGCATGAGAAATTAGACATGCAATGCCCATTAACATAAATGGATTTTTTTGCACCTAATTCCCTACACACCATGCAAAAATCTACCCGCAGGACATGGGGTATGCATGTTTTCTTGTTCTTCCTATTTATAATTTTAATTATTAATTTCATATATAATTGGTTTCTTTAGAGAATGAAATGCCTACTAGGTTATCCAAAACACTGTTTCAGAGTCTTGGGGCTTGATGCTGAAAAAGATGGGCTGATACTGAAGGATGTTATGGTGTGTAAGACAAACAATGAAAATTGGGCTGAGAGGTCTTGAATGAAGTTAGGCTAATTAAACAATTCTCAGTGTTTAAATTCTTGCTACCTTCTCCAGAGTATACTGCCAATCATCTCATCTTGGGGGACTGCTCTGCTTTGCCCTTACCTCAAGGCTCACTTAATACATGCAACCCTCAAATAATTTATCAAATATTTTCACTATAAAAATGAAAAATGTTTTGGTGTTTTCAGTTCACTTCATTTTTCTCTTTTCTTTTTTCCAAGTCAGTTTAAACACTCCTAAGAGAACTGTGAGTTCGGAAAGGAGGGAACTTGTCTAATCATTATGTGTTCTAGGATTCCCCCAACCTTTTCCTCATTTACTCAGTTCTGACCTAGGTTTTGTTTGTGTACCTCCAGTAACCAAGAACTTAATCGCCTCATGAACCAACCTATTCTGTCACTGGACAGCTTCATCATGGCGGCTGACCTCCAAGATGGCGCCCACTGATCCTTACCTCTTGGTATGTGTGTTCTCGCCTAGTAGTCTCCACCTCCCAACACTGAAGAGAGCTTACAAGGTGACAGAAAGGATGCTGTGGAAGTGAGGAGACTTGACTATCAAGACCGAGTCATAAAAGGAACTACAGTTTCTACCATATGACCCAGCAACCCCAATATTGGGCATATACCCTGAGAAAACTATAATTCAAAAGATATGTGCACCCCAATGTTCACTGAAGCACTATTTACAACAGACAGGACATGGAAGCAGCCTAAATGTACCCTGACAGTTGAATGGATAAAGAAGATTTGGTACATATATACAATAGAATATTACTGAGCCATAAAAATGAATGAAATGGGGTCATTTGTAGAGATGTGGATGGATCTAGAGTCTGCTATACAAAATAAATTAAGTCAGAAAGAGAAAAACAGGTATCAGATATTAAAGCATTTATGTGGAATCTAGAAACATGGTACAGATAAACCTATTTTCAGGGTAGGAAAAGAGATGCAGATGTAGGGAACAGATGTGTGGACAGACCATCAGGGAGTAGAGGGAGGCTGGGATGGATTGGGGTACTGGGATTGATACATACACATTCAAACAACACTGTAAAGCAACTGTACCTCAACTGAAAAAAAAAAAAAGGTTGCAATTTCTGACCTGCTATCTTTTGAATCAATAGTTCTTTGGAAAGCCAGCTTCCATGATGTGAGGACATCCAAACATCTCTGAAGAGAGGCCCACGTGTGGGGAGGCACGAATGAAGAAACACTGAAGATTCCTGTCAAAAACCAGTAGCCACTCACCACTCAGGTGAGCTAGCCACTTTGGGGGTTGGTCATCCAGACTCAATGAAGCCTTTAGATGACTATAGCTCTGGCCAACAACTTGGCTGCAATTTTGTGAGAGACATCAAGCCAGAACTACCCAGCTAAGCTATCCTCGACTCTCTGATCCACAGAAATTGTTGATAACAAATGTTTATTATTGTTTTGAGCTACTGAGGTTGAGATAAATTTTGAAAAGAATATGTAGATGGCTGACACAGATTGCATTACAGTCTTTTTATTATTCTTCACTCACCCACTGAAGACTTAAGAAATCAATGAAATTCCTTTCTCATACAACAGCGAATTCCAGATGCTAGGAAATCTGTTTCTTGTCAGGTGAAACATTCTCAGTCTCTTCAGATCTTTGGTCTTTGGCTCTGCTTTCTCAACCTAGAACATCTTTCTGGGTCATCTCACTCACAAGCCTCCAGCCTTTATTACACTGAGGTCTCCTATATTCTACACAGGTATTTCTGATTGCCTCTTAACTCAGATCTTTCTAATGCCCTAAAAGCACCTCAAACTCATAGGATCAGAATTAAACACCTCATTTTTCATCTACATTCAAATCTGCTCTCTCTCAATGGCTTGGTCTATCTTGCCTAAGTACATTACTGGTCACTCAAATTTCCAAAGCATAAATGCAACATAACGCTCTTCTTTATAACACAAAATAATGAACACATCATTCCCTTGCTTAAGGTTCCTTTGGAATTCTCTACTGCCTTCAGACAGAGTTAATCTAAACTTGTAAGCTCAGCCATCAGAGATTTTGCACTCTGGTCAGTGCTTACTTCTCTAGTCTTTTCTATTGCTTTCCATAACTCACCTACTCCTCACCTATGAGTCCTACTGAACTATCTACTAGTTGTTAACCCTTCTAGGACCTTTGCACATGCTGTTCTCTACGCTTTGACTGGCTTCTTCTCACACTGACTCCCTGTTTCCTGGGAATGTCTACCATCTGAAAGAGAAGGTATATTGATTTTATTTTTCTATCTGGAACTCTGTCGGAGTATAGTTACTTTACAGTGGCATGTTAGTTTCTGCTGTACAGCACAGGGGATCAGCTGTATGTGTACATGTATCTCCTCCCTCTTTGACATCCCAGCTCCCACCCTATCTCACTCTAGTCATCACAGCACCGAGCTGAGTTCCCTGTGCAGCTTCTCACTAACTATCTATTTTACACATGGTAGTGTATATGTGTCAATCCCAATCTCCTAATTCCCCTTTCTCCTCCCCACCACATCCACACACCCGTTTTCTACACCTGTGTCTCTATTCTTGCCCGAAAATCGTAAACGAGACAAAAAGAGAAGCCTCAGAATGGGAGAAAATATTTACAAATAAACCCACTAACAAGGGATTAATCTCCAAAAGATACAAACATCTCATCAGTTCAATAACAACAACAACAAAAAACAAACAACTCAATCAAAAAATGGGTGGAAGACCTAAACAGACATCTCTCCAAAGAAGACATACAGATAGCCAAGAGGTACACGAAAAGATGCTTAACATTACTAATTAGAAAAGAATATCAAAACTTTATCACCTCACACTGCTCATCAAAAACCCTATACTGACTCTTTAAAACCTTCTTTAAAGTCAGGCCACCTCTGCTTCTGTCTCCCTTGCATCATTTCATCTGTGTAACTCTTTAGACATCTCACTATGTTTCATATCATGTTTGTTCATCCAGGTATATTTTACCAATCTCTGGATTTCCAGAGAGTACCTGTCCCAGTCATATTTCAATTTATTCAATTATTAAGCTATTTAGAAGCATTTATTAATTTAAAAATTGTATGTCAGTGACTATTATAGATTCTGGGGATACAAAAGTTAACCCAACAGACAGAATTCCAGACAGAATTCCTGCCCTCAAGAAGTATACATCATAGTAAAAGACATAGAGAGCAAATAAGTATGCTTGTAAATATATAGCATGTCAGTTGGTAAGAAGGATAATAAATCAGGATAATGACTTTGGGACAATGAAAAAAAACAGGATTTTAGGGAGAATGTGTGTCAGGGCACGAGGGATGTTTGAATATTGTATATGGTGAACAGGGAAGACCCTGATGCTGGGAAAGATTGAGGGCAGGGGAAGAAGGGGACAAAAGAGGATGAGATGGCTGGATGGCATCACCGACTCAATGCACACGGGTTTGAGTCAACTCTGGGAGTTGGTGATGGACAGGGAGGCCTGGTGTGCTGCGGTTCATGGGGTCGCAAAGAGTCGGACACAACTGAGCAACTGAACTGACACTGAACAGGGAAGGCCTCTGTCATAAGGGAGGACCAAGCTCTTTGATATCTGGGGAAAAGGCGCTTGAGGAATTTCTAGGAGCCCTTGTACGGCTGGAGCAGAGTAGGAAAGGGGCAAGAAAGAGCAGAAGGTCAGAGAGGCATCATGGCTAGGGTCCTGCAGCCATGGAATGAGATCTGATGTGTAAACTATGTAAGGTGAAAGTTAAGAGGGAATTTTTGCACAGGAAAATGTGAACACTAGTGTAGGGGCATGAAGGAAGTCTTACCATTTTCAATAGCTTATCTAAGTAACTGACACATCAAGGTGCTCACAAGTATCAATTAAATAATAAGGCCACTGGGCCAATCTAAACACCATTCATTCAGAGCATATTTTAGTTTATCTATGTCCCATTTTTGTCACCAAATTTAGAACTAGACCATGGCACCCAAGTTTCATCTATCAAACAAAGTGAGGAGAAATACGTATTTCATGATATTTCAATCAGTGACCTCCATAGACTTATTTTTGATCAGATACAAGACACTATTGACTCATTTATATGAAAGTTAATGAATGCTTCTTCTCTGATTGTCCTATTTCTTTTTTCTTAAGCAATTTGGTTGAGGCAGAATCCAAGTAGAGGAACTTACATTTACCTTGGCCAAGTTTATCTTATTTAATGATAACATCAGAAATTAAGGAAATACACCAAATACTTGGTGAGCATCTAACATAAATCAGTTCTTTCCAATGGTCAAGAGATAAGTTTAGCATAATATATCAAATGATTTTTAAAATTTTTGTTTCATATATCACTCATTCTTAAAATATTTTTTAAAGTTGTTGTAAAACAAATACTTAATTGACAAAGATGGGGTCACACTACATGTATTGCTCTCTGATATTTGCTTTCAGTATGCTATGTTTACACAGAAGATTCTACAGAATAGATATCCCATAAACTATTGATATACCCTCTAAACTATTAATATTTTAAATGGCTCTAGCATTTTGTGCCTTTTTCCCCCTGTAAACTGCATGTTTACATCCATTGCCAAATTTTTCTTTTGGTTTGTCTTTTCCTAACTGGAACTAGTTTATGAATTTAGATATTAATCTTTGGTCTATCAAATATTTTATAAATACCATCAGTGTGTTTCTTACCTTGTAATGTTCTCTATACTACACTCCATCATATGTAAGTTTAGAAATCTACATGGCCAGAGTGACAAGTGACATCAGTGGGAATAGCAGTGCAGGCAGTTCCATCCCTCCAAAGACCAAAAGAAAAAATAAAATCAAGTCAAGAGTTTTTCTTAGGATCCCAACTTAATCATATCTCTGTAAAGAACTCAAAAGTATACAGTAGCCAAATCACTCCTTAATTAAGAAAATGCCAAATAAAATTTGGTAGAAAAGTTTTGTGCCATTTTTCACTTGGCCTTGCCTCCTTCTCCAACTCTGTGGTGGTATTAAAGACGGCAACCCATATTCGCAGTGGGGAACCCTGTCTCTGATTCCAGCGCAAACAGAGCAGACCTTATAAACAAAAAATTGTGTTTGTCTGCTCTAAATGGCTGGAGACTGCTTGAAGGACTGTACAAGCTGCTTGTTTTAGTGTTACCTAAATTAGAACTCCCCCAGGGTGGCAAAGCACCACAGACCAACCCAATGTTGTAAAGCAACTATCCTTCGACAAAAAATAAATACATTTAAAAAAAGTGTAAGGCAAATGAAAGAACCCATAGCCACCTGAAGGAAGCAAAAGACTGACTTAGGTATACAACAGAGTACTGAAAACCTGGGAGAAAAATCTGAGAAGAGAGTTTTCTTTGAGAAAAAAAATATGGTATTTGAAAGCTTCCTGTGCATCCTTTGAAATTTAAAAAGCCATGAACATACTCTGGATAGAATACATGCTCAGAAAAGACCTTAGAAGACCCTAAACTTTATCTAGGTTAAATGCAAACTGAAGAGGAAGGTAATGACAGAGTTTTCCATGGTACGGCTAAACATTAAAGGAGTGCCCCAGCACAGATACAACCTGCAGATTAGGAAACTATTTCAATTCTTTCTATTATATTTCCCTCTTTCTTTCTCCCACCTCTGGTCTCTAAGTACATCAGTCAAAACATACCTGATAACAAGTTAAGGAATGAAAATTTCATAAAAATAATACAGTTTTTACAAAGTATGTTACAGATTATAAAAAGCAATGCTGTCATTGTTTACTTACTAAGTCATGTCCAACTCTTTGCAACTCCATGGACTATAGCTTGTCAGGAACCTCTATCCATAGGATTTCTAAGGCAAGAACACTTGAGTGGGTTGCCAGTTCCTTCTCCAGGGAATCTTCTCAAATCAGGGATCAAACGCCATGCCTCCTGGATTGGCAGACAGATTCTGTACCACTGAGTCACCAGGGAAACCCATAGACAAGGAAAGGGTTACAAAATAACAAAATACTTTACAAAAGTTATTAAAATAAAAGTTACAGCCTACAACTGTAGAAGAAAAAACAAACTCTGAGGATGGGGAAGAATGTGATTTCCATATTCATAAGGCTTAATATTCATAATGCTCAGTTCAGTTCAATCACTCAGTCGTGTCCGACTCTTTGTGACCCCATGAACCGCAGCACTCCAGTCCTCCCTGTCCATCACCAAATCCCAGAGTCCACCCAAAACCATGTCCATCAAGTCAGTGATGCCATCCAGCCATCTCATCCTCTGTCATCCCCTTCTCCTCCTGCCCTCAATCTTTCCTAGCATCAGGGTCATTTCAAATGAGTCAGCTCTTCACATCAGGTGGTCAAAGTATTGCA